GGAGGAGGAGAGATCGTGGCAGGGACACCCCCTCTGCGGAGTGCTTTCTCACTCTCCCTCCGTCTCTGTCTCTGACTCTGGAAAGCTCATGCACTTTATAGAAAATTTTTAAAGAGAAAGAAAAAGAGAAAAGAAAAATTGGACTTCTGAATTCAAAAATTGGAACGAGGGAGCCAGCAGGGGGCATGGTGGTTGGGGTGCTCAACTCCCATATGGCCCATTGCGGTTCGAGTCCCAGATCTGGTGGCTTGCTTTCTCACTTTCCCTCTCTCTGTAGCTCTCTGGTGAGTGAGAGTGCCCTATAGCAAATTAAAATAATAGTAATCATCATCACGATAATTGAACAAAAATACATAATTATTTTTTTCAATCGGAAAGTAAAAACCAATCACCAGAATAATGAGATGTCAGAACCTCACTTGACAGAGAACCAGAGAGCGGGTAACGTGCCCAAGGTCACATCTAGATGGTCCCTTCCAGCTTCTCTCAGTCGCATCTATGCGAGTCCCACCCCAGGAGCCTCCACAGGGTGACCAAGGGGGCACTGGTGGTGCCAGGTCCTCCTCGCCAGCCCAGGCCTCTGCTGAGAGGCACTCTCATGCGGGCCCTGGCAGAATCCTGCCTCTGTACCCACCTGCTGCCACCCACCCCGCCCAGAAGGGCTCTGTCAGCTCACAGCCTCCAGCCACTTGGGGAGCTCTTTGCTAAGGTTGGGAGGGATGCCAGCACTGAGCCTGGCCCAGGTCACTGTGACCACAGAAGACTAGGCCAGGGGCTACCACTTCCCTGCCTTCTCCATTACTGCCATCCTTCAAGGGGTAAATCAAGGCACCACCTGGGGGTATATGGCACGTGGCCTCAGCCTCTCTGAGTTCTTCCACATATGAAGCAGGGCTAATAAACGTCATGCGGGGGACACGAGTCCACCTGCAGACAGGCCTAGGTACATGGCAAAAGGCGTAAGAGGCCATGTACCCCATGCTGCAGGACAGTCCCCACTGTGCAGACACCCGGACCTGCCTTGCCTTGTTGACTCCCGCTCATGCCTTGGGAGGCCTGCCCTGTGGCCCCCAGACTCCTAATGACACTATGCACTCCTAATGACCGAGCTGCTGCAGGGAGAGTGCCAGGCACTGCGTGATCACAGGCTGTGCCAGCTCGCCTCGTGGGAGGCGGGCTTAGCATTCTCCTCACTTTCCAGGTGTGGACCCCGAGGCCCAGAGAGGTGGAAGTACCTTGCCCAAGGTCACCCAGATGGCAAATGGCTGGACCCAGGGAGGCCATCTCCAGAGAAAGTGCCCTTCTCAACTGTGCTGGCTGGTGATCCTTCCAAAAGCCATGACATTTCTTCCCATGACACAAGCCAACACCCTTCCAGACACCACTTATGCCCGTCATCCCCCCAGGGCAGCACAGGCCCCGGGAGGAAACGCAGCAGGCATGGCCAGCGATTAACATCCCTCCAGTCCTGAGAGGCTGGCATGGGACAGGCAGACGATTTGTGGAGATCACCCTGCCCTGCATTTCTGCCTTTCCTGTGCTCCCCCCGGGATGCCCCCTCCACAATGCCCTGCCACCCAGAGGTCATTTCCCAGAGACTCAGACCTGCTTCCAGGGGCTGTGACAGCCAGCCCAGTGGGGCAGCCCTAGAACTCACCGGGCTCACGTAGGAAGCCTGGGTGCTGCTGAAGGCCATGTCTCTACCGCTTCTTATCACCCAGCCAGACAGTGCTCTGCAAGGGAAGGCTGCACAAAGGAATCGAAACCAGAAACCAAAGCAAGTTATTCAAAGGGGAGGAGCCAGGAGCAAGAGGAAGTAGGCCTGCAGAGAGAGCGGTCAGCATCTGGGGGAGGCTAAGGGGGCACTGGGGGTGGGCACTCCCAGCCCCAGAGACCTCCCCTCCCTCTCTCCTCAGTGCCCTGCCCAGAGATGATGCTGTTTGCTTCATGGAGCTTCAGAGTACCAGACCTCATAGACATGACGGCGAGTTTCTCGACAACACTGCCTGGATGGGGCTGTGTGGCCTAAGCACGCCTGGTCACAGTGCCCAGAAAACAATGGAGCTGGGTGTCGCCTGCCTACAGGTGGTGGTGGGGAAGGTCGCTGCCCATTTTACATACAGGGAAACAGGCTCAGAGACATGCCTAGAGTCACACAGCTAACAAGGGGTGGCTTGAGCTACTTGGAGGCTACTTAGGCTCTCCAAAAAGCATTCGTCCCTTTAAACTTTTGATTTCTTGGAGCCAGCAGATAGCATAGTGGTTATGTCGCTGGACTCCCACATGGCCAACTGCAGTTCAAGTCCTGGACCTGGAGGTTTGAAACTCACACTGGGTGCATGTGCGTGTATGGCCAAGATCCCGGGAGAATGGAGGAGAAGGGATTGTGGCACGGTCATCCCCCTGGGCGGTGATTTCTCGCTTTCCCTCTTACTATCTCTGTCTCTCTCTCTCTCTTCAGTGAATGCATGTGCCCTAAGGCAAAATCCTCTTAAAATTAAAAAAAAAAAAAATTTCTTGTATAAAAACACCCTTATGTAGGAAGTAATGTTTTACAAGAAAAACAATGCATATTTTTCTTCTAGAACACAGGAGCTTCTGGTCCTCTTTTCTACGGATTTGTCTCTTTCTTCACTCCTCTCTTTGCCTTGGCTTTACGGTGCAAAGAAGGGGCCGGTGGGTGGTGTGGTAGTTAATGGTGCTGGACTCCCACATGGCCAAGCACGGTTTGGAT